ATGAAATATTTTTTAATTAATGATTATATTTCTTAATCTAATTTTAATTTAATTTTTTTGTTTCATGTGTTGTCTTTAAATCCATTGGTAAGGTAAGATGCTGCATCAATTAAATCTCATTCTAATTCATTCATAATACCTAAATTATCATTTAATAAACAAGAGAATATTGAAGGTACTAATGAGAATGTATGTCTCATAAATAATTTAGAAAGTTTCAAAAATTTAGCTATTAGTAATTCTCTTGTAAGATTTTCTTCTTTGTCTGAATTTACAAATAATTCTATTGATTCTACGTTATCAAATTCTACAATGGATTCTTTAAAAAATAATACAGATACAATATCATTTAAGTCTTTAGCTGATTTAACAGCACATCATTTACAAAAATCTAGCAATTTAATTGATAGTACAAATTCTAATGAAAAAAGATTTTCATCTAAAACAAATTTTGTAATACCAAAATTATCAATTCAGAATGAAAATTGTAATGATACACAATTAGATGTATGTGCTATTCAAAAACATATAGATTATTCTATGGATTCATTAGAAAAAAGTTTATCTAGCGTATTTTCCTCTTCAAAAAATTATACTGATACTAATATAAAAAATGATTCACAAAATATAGAATTAAAAAAAGATACGATATTAAATGAAAATGGTACTCGGACATCATCTCCAGATTCTTGGATGATTGATTTAAATTCTGCTTTAAAAGAAGCTACATCGTTAATTTCAAGTAATCAGAATTATGCAAAATCAAAAATTTTAGAAGATGATTATAATATTATTTCTAATACAAATTTAAAAAGTTTTAATCAAAATGATGAAATTCCATGTGATATGCTTCCTACAACATTAAATTTAAGTTGTCTTAGATATGTTAAACTTCCATATACAAAAAAGAATGTATCTTTATTTGGTAGAACTTTATGCAGAACATGGAAATTGAAAAAACCAATTCTTAAATCTCAGGACCATCATGAAAAATTAAAAAGATTTGATTTTTCAGTTCCATATACTCGTACTTAAATGTGTAATAATGTATAGATTAAATTAAGTACAAAAGTTTTGGAGTACAAAATATTATTATGATAAATATTACTTTTATGAACATATACATATATGTTACACATATATAATACTAAATTATAAATTTTATATAAATTTATGAATACATAAAAAAGTTATAATTAACATACATATATATATATATATGTATGTATATATGTATGTATATATTGTATGTATATATATATATGTGTATGTACAAAATATTTCTTTTAAGTAAGAACTGTTTAATATTTCATATTGGATTAAAGTTATCAAAAAAATGTTTTATCAAAAGTTTAGATCAAAAGCGCATGTATTATGCATGTACTTTTTTGTATATATTATACATTACTTTTTTATAAGTCTAATAATAGAGATTTCAAGGTCAATTTTATTTTTTTAAATTAAATAAAAACTATGTAATTTGGAATATATTAATCGATTTATCTAAATGTTGTCTATAAAAAAGTATTAACCTATTTACACATATTAAAAAACTATTGATTTAAAAGATATTTTAACTTCAAGTTTATAAAAACTATCATATAAAAAACAAGAAAAGCATGAATAGTAGAATATCACATTTTTCTTGTTTTTCATGATAAGTTTTATAAACTTTAATTCTTAAATTAATAATTTTTCGACATAAGTAGGTTAACACTTTTTTTATATGCCAAAAATAAATCGATTACTGCAATTTAAAATTTCATTTAAAAAAATCAAGTTGATCTTAAAATTTTCTCTAGTACTTAATTTGCAAAAAATAATCTGTACTATATAATGCTTTTTTTAAACCAAATTTTTATTAAAATATTTTTTTGATAATTCAATATAAGATATTCCATTATTTTCACTTAAAGAAAATATTTTGTACATAAATATATACATACATACATATATATATAAAAAGTCATATAATATAATTTATTAAAAAATAGTTTTACTTATATTAATTACATTTACTGTAAAGTATTATTTTCATGTAAATATTTTCGAAATTTTAAAACGAAATTTGTGAATTTTTAAACTGCAAGAAAAAGAAAATGTATTTTTAATACTAGAACTAATAATATATGTTTATATTAAAATCTTTATATATTTTTTTTATATTTAACATTAAAATAACAATTAGTTACTACTACAATAGTAGTTTACAATAAATTTTATGATAGGTAAAAAATCATCCAAATCTACATTTCAAGTTACAACATCTTCTAATGCGAAAATCATTCCTGCTGGAAAACGACCTATTGTAAAAGGCTTTAATGTAGGCGGAATTGAGAATACAGATGTAATGAATCTTCATATTGAGAGTCCTCGCTCTCAAAGTCCATATTCTGATTATAATAGCCCAGAAATAAAAAAGAAGGAAAATTTATTGAAGGAAAAAAAGATTATTTCTTTGAATGTAAATAGTCCACGATGTCAATCTCCAATATCAGGACATCAAACATATGATTTGGATTCTAAATTAAAACTTAATGAAGAGAAAGTTGATATTATGAAGATTTATAAAAATAAAAGAGGAAATAGCAAAGAACAATTACATTTAATTGTGGTTGGTCATGTAGATGCTGGTAAAAGTACTTTATTAGGACGGCTTTTATGTGACTTAGGACAAGTTCCATCAAGGTTAATACATAAATATCAACAAGAAAGTAAAAAAATAGGAAAACAATCCTTTGCTTATGCATGGGTTTTTGATGAAACAGGAGAAGAACGGTGATTAAAATTTTAAAAAATAATTTAAAAAAACTAATATACATATTTCTATATCAATTAATTTTTATATGTTCTTTTAATAGGGAACGTGGAATAACAATGGATATTGGTCATTCTAAATTTGAAACAAAAACAAAATCTATTACTTTATTAGATGCACCTGGTCATAAAGATTTCATACCTAATATGATTACTGGTGCTACTCAAGCAGATGTTGCTTTATTAGTAGTAGATGCTACTAGAGGAGAATTTGAAACTGGTTTTGATAGTGGTGGTCAAACTAGAGAACATGCATTATTATTACGTTCATTGGGTATTTGAATTTATGTGAAATATTTATATAGTATATAAAATATTCGTATAAAGCATTTATATGTCATCATGGCTAAGTAATAAAAATAATTAATTTTTTAGGTATATCTCAATTAGCAGTAATAGTAAATAAATTAGATACAGTAGATTGGTCAAAAGAGAGATTTGATGAAATAGTGAGCAAAATAAGCATATTCTTGAAACAAGCTGGATTTAAAGATAATGTCATTTTTGTTCCTTGTAGTGGTCTGTCTGGTGAAAATATATTAACAAAGCCTAAAGAATTTTTGTTTAATTGGTAAAACTATTAGTTAAAATATTTAATATATATATATAT